CTTCCCCCCCCCCCCCCCCTTTCCTTTTAAAAAAAAAGGCGTAGCTGACTATGGCCTCCGTAGTTTGCTTTCCCAGTTTTTTTGTGAAACTCGGAGTAATAGCATTTTCAGCTTTAATTTAACCTTTATAGTGCAAATCTAGTTTTCTAAAATTTTCCACTTTCAGCCAACAAGATTCATTCAATTTTATCAAATTAGTGGCTACAATTTCTATTTCCCTGCAGAACAACCCCTCCCACTTCCACCTAGAATTTTTTGCACTTTTTCTCCTCCATCCGCAAGAATTCTGCATAACCAGGCTGGGCGCCACGCCTCGAAAGTACTTGACTGGTTGAGCACACAATCATTTGCAACTGCCGCCTGTCCACTACCACGGGCGCTGCAGTCCGAGCAAGTGGACGATCGAAAAATCACTGGCGAGGCGCACCGGGGTGGGCCCGTGCGATCATGCGTTTTTGCAATATTTCGTGCTGTAATGAGAACGTTCGGAAACCCAGCGGATAGAAATATGTGATATACTGGTTATCGAAGTCCGGGAAGCTAGTAGTCTACGCAGTATTTGGACAGAGAACATTCCTTTTAAATTTTAGCTTTCCAAATTTCCTGGCTCTTAAGTTAGCAATTTTCCTGTCAAAAATTTTCATGGGGCTGTACGTGAGTACCACACAAAATGAAGGGCTGAATTTGATACATCTGTTACCATGTTTGTCTCTACAAATAAATCATCTACAAAAATCAGTCAGTCGAACGATAAAAATCAATTGTTCGATCCATGGAAAAAACCCATCGACCGATGCAAATCAATCAATCGATTTCTGGAAAATTAGTGGAAAAAAAAGCAGTGCAACAAACATTGAAATCAACATCCGGTGGTGGTGGCATGAACATGCCATTGACGGCCGAGTTGTTCATGGTTGGTGGAGCAGGTGCTGCACCCCAAACATTTTGCAGTCGACTTCGCTGTGGTGGCGGGGGTGGCATGCCGGATGGTGGTGGAATCGGTGGTTGCATCGAATCGTTCATCGGACGTGCTACCCAGTTTCCCATGACGGCACTGTTCTCGAACGGTGGATTGCCGAAACGAGCCGGTGGCGGGAAAACATTGCCACGTGGTGCTGCTACATTTTGCTGCCAACCTAAAACAACAACCGCTACAAATTCGGTCCTGATAAACACAGGGCATACGCATAAACTTTTTCTTTTTCTATTAAGCACTGCGACCGTCATACTGACGAGGTCCTGTTGCGGTGTTCAGTAATGAAGTCTATATGACTTAGCGGACCGAAACGTCTTATCTCATTTTTGCCTTCTTTTCTCATATTATTCTCTCCTTCTGTACTCTATTATCGTACCTTTGTCACTTGGGCTTCCAAGCTCAGGGATGAAACACAGACAGCCAAGTTCACATTTAGCTTTCCTACAGGTCCTCCTCACATCTCAACTTTTTACAAAAAACATATGCGTTTCACTATCTATTTCATTTCCTTATTTCGTGGTCTTATGAC